CCCCCCCCCCAAAAAACACGGATATTTATGAGTTTTGACATGAAGGTGCTTTAAATTTAGGAATAAAAAAAAAAATGATGCCCTGTGCATTGTGTATACTAACTGGGGATATGTGGTAATGTATTTTTAAAAGTGGCTGAAGCTTGATTTGATGAAAACATTCCATTACCTGGGACAATTACCCTACAACCATTTTTAATTAGCCAGGAGTTTATTAGATTTGCACCCTATTAACATTTTCCCTTTACGCTGAGATGGTGGGAATTTTATAAGGGAAAAGAACGTGCTCTGACTTAGTAGGTCAGTTTGGATCTTAGGTTTCCCATGAAGTTCAGTGCTTTAGTTAAGTTTTTTTCAGCAGTTCAGATCCATTTACCACAGATCAGCGGTCTGGCCCGAAGACACACATTTGAGAGTCTCTGGCATTTCGATGGCAACGGAAGCTAAGAAAGTAGAGACAAGGAGAGCGGGAGAGAGCAGAGGGTCAAGGTTGAGCTCTCTGAAGTTCTAACTGAATGATCAGTAGCGGAATTGCAAAGTGCAAAGAAATTGCATTAGTGCAGCCAGAGCCCGCGGAAAGAGGTACAGACACTGGGGGATGTGCGGTCACAGGAGCCAAGAGAAAGGAGGTGGAATTAGGATGATTAGATGAACACACGTGAAAGCAGATGGAGATGATGTATTTTGATTAAAAACTTTTTTTTTAATGTTTGTTTATTTTTGAGAGAGAGAGAGAGCATGAAGGAGGGGCAAGGGGCAGAGAGCGAGGGAGACACAGAATCCGAAGCAGGCTCCAGGCTCTGAGCTGTCAGCACAGAGCCAGACGAGGGGCTTGAACTCACAAACTCTGAGATCATGACCTGAGCTGAAGTCAGATGCTTAACTGACTGAGCCACCTAGGTGCCCCAATGGAGATGACTTTATTAACAAAAGGCTTGTCAAGTTTTTCTCCTGATGAAAAAGTTCAGAGAATTGCCTAATTGTCGCTGGTACGCTTAGCAGTTAGAGTCCACACTTGACCTTTTGCTGTATTTGTTTTTTCTCTCTCCCCTAAAAATAAGAGACTTCCTCTAATTTGACTAAAATATCATCATTCTGAGACAATTAAAAATACTTCTCTAATCATTTATGCAGTCTCATCAAATCTTTCTATTCCCAAAGTATCTTTTATAGCTCAAAGCACAAAACACAAGCCGGGAGCTAATCAAGATTCACGCATTGCGTTTGGTTGCTACGTATTTTATTCTCTTTTATGCCGGAACAGTCGACCCACTCTGTTTTCCCGTGACGTTGACTGCTTGAAGAAAGAAGGCCCGTTATTTTGTACACTATCCCGCCTTCGGGATGTCTGCTTCCTCGTGGTGGTGAGGAAATCGTCAGAAATCCTCCTGTCACTTGTAGTTCGGGTAAACTGAGAGTTAGGTATAGAATTTTGATTGCATTCACATTTGGCGCGAGAAGTCTTCTTAGGGGATGCGGTGTACTCGTTACTGCATCACACCGGGAGGCGTGATTGAAAGTTGGCTCCCCCACTTGAAGTGCTGTCTGATCCCTCAGTTAAGGTGGTGACATCTAGGTCTTTCCATTTCCCCTGTGCAGTGAGCAGGTCGTCTTTCGGGGGATGCTCGGGCACCAGGAAATTTCATCTTCCTTGAGAATTTGTTCCAAATGATCTTAGTATCCAATGATGATCCTGGCTTGAATCGGTTATTTTATTTCCCCAAGATTTGGAATGTGTTATTCTCTGAGAACGGATTTCCCACGCCTCATGCCTGCCTAAAGCTTCAGGGAATCTTGAGGTTGGAATGTATCATCGCAGTCGTTCAATTATTGAAGGAATAGACTGGAAAGGATAACACACGTTTGTCTCCTGATGTACCTTCTGTAATCTCAGAGAAGAAGGAAACTCAAATCTGTGAAGTAACATTTGTTCCAGCTTGTAAATAATGTGCCTGACTCGCTTCAAACCTTCAAAATACCACCTGGATATTTAACTACCCATCTGGAACACATTATTACTCTCTGGCTTAGCTTAACCGACTCCCTGGTTATCCTTCAACCATGTTCGGGCTCCTTGTCATTTCCCTTAAGACTGCACATTCCTTTGCCTCAGTCTTTGTCAGATCTTCTTGAACATTCCACTTCAGACAGCTCTGTTTTCTTGTTTTCCTAGTAACTAGTGCGCTCCTCAGTTTATCTTCCGAACCTCTTGTTTATTGTCTGACCGTTTTCTCCCTTCTTTTGAGGAGAATTCTCTCATTTCATCATTTTGGCTGTTTTCTGTCTTGTACGTGTTTCAGTAGCTTGTTATGTGCCCTGCACCTGTGAGTACGACTCTATTAAAAAGGGGTCAGACACTGTCCAGGGCCTGGCCCTTCAGGAAGCGTTTTTGAAGTGTGTTGAGTGCATTCTGTTGTTGCATCTCGGGTTGCTTTATCTCCCTACTCGTAGTGGTGGTTTGGACCTTCCAAAGGTGTGCTTTGATTTGTTCGTTGAA